TGTAGTCCAAATCTTGCAACCTAATGAATTTAAGTGTGTGTGCTCTCTGGCCATTTTTTTAGGTATTTCATTGACAAATCCTACATAGTTACATACAGTTGCAAGAAAAAGTATGTGAACCCCTTGGGATTACGTGGAGTTTTGCATGAATTGGGCATAAAATGTGCTCTGAACGTCATCTAAGTCACAACAATAGAAGAACACAGCCTGCTGAACATAATACTACACAAACATTAGATGTTGCCATGGTTTAATTGCACATAACATGTAAACATTCACAGTGCAGGGAGAAAAAAGTATGTGAACCGTTGGACTTAATAACTGGTTAACCCTCCTTTGGCAGCAATAACCTCAACCAAACGTTTCCTGTAGTTGCAGATTAGACCTGCACAACGATCTGGAGTCATTTTGGACCACTCCTCTTCGCTCTTTTAAGGTTATGCCACAGCATTTCAATCGGGTTGAGGTCAGGACTCTGACTGGGCCACTCCAGAAGGCGTATTCTGTGCTGTTGCAGCCATTGTTTTGTTGACTTACTTGTATGCTTTGGGTCATTGTCCTGTTGCATCACCCATCCTCTGCGGAGCTTCAGTTGGCGGACAGATGGTCGTACGTTTTCCTGCAAAATGTCTTGATAAACTCTGGAATTCATTTTCCCATCAATGACAACAATCCATCCAGACCCTGAGGCATCAAAGCAGCCCCAAACCATGATGCTCCCTCCGCCATGTTTTACAGTGGGGATGAGGTTTTGATGTTGGTGTGCTGTGCCTTTTTTTCTCCACACATAGTGTTGTGTGTTCTTCCCAAACAACTCAATCTTGGTTTCATCTGTCCACAGTATATTTTGCCAGTAGTGCTGTGGAACATCCAGGTGCTCTTTTGCAAACTTCAAACATGCTGCAATATTCTTTTTGGACAGCAATGGCTTCCTCCGTGGTGTCCTCCCATGTACTCCATTCTTGTTTAATGTTTTCCTTATTGTAGATGTGTCAACCAAAATGTTAGCATGTGCCAGAGATTTCTGTAGGTCTTTAGCTGACACTCTGGGATTCTTCTTTGCCTCATGCAGCTCATGCAGCATTCTGCGCTGTGCTCTTGCAGTCATTTTTACAGGACGACCACACCTAGGTAGAGTAGTAACAGTGCTAAACTTCCTCCATTTGTAGATAGTCTGTCTTACCGTGGACACATGAACATCAAGGCTTTTGGAGATACTTTTGTAACTCTTTCCAGCTTCATGCAAGTCAACAATTCTTGATCGTAGGTCTTCTAAGAGCTCTTTTCTGCGAGGCATGGTTCACATCAGACAGTGCTTCTTGAAACCAGTAAACCCAAAACAGGTGTGTGTTTTTTTAAGGGCAGGACAGCCGTCAGCAACACATCCAATATCATCACACTGATTGGAGTCAAGGTTGGCTCACTCCTGGCTCCAATTAGCTCTGGGAGAAGTCATTAAGCTAGGGCCTCACATACTTTTTCCTCCCTGCACTGTGAATGTTTACTAGTTATGTGCAATTAAACCATGGCAACATCTAATGTTTGTGTAGTATTATGTTCAGCAGACTGTGCTCTTCTATTGTTGTGACTTAGATGACGTTCAGAGCACATTTTATGCCCAATTCATGCAAAACTCCACGTAATCCCAAGGGGTTCACATGCTTTTTCTTGCAACCGTAGTTAGGTTGAAAAAGACACTAATCCATCTAGTTCAACCAAAAAAAAAAAATCATTTAAAATATAAAAACACAAAAATTGCAAACTTCCATATACACTATTCTATACCCACAATTGATCTTGAGGAAGACAAAAAAACTATTAAAGCATGATCCAGTTTGCTCAAGTGGGAACATAAAATTCCTTCCTGATCCGCATGAGGCAATCAGATACAGGTATTCCCTGGATCAACTACCTCTAAATATTAATATCCAGCCATATTGTGTGCACTTAGAAATGCATCCAACTTTTTTTTAAAGCAATCTACTGATCTGGCTAGAACCAGTTCTTGAGGAAGTATATATTCCACATTTTTGCAGTTCTAACTGTGAAGAATGTGAAGGTTATATCTCCTTTCCTCAAGACATAAAGACATGTGTCTATGGGTGTGTTTGACCATTCTTCCAGAAGTGCCATTCAGCCACTAATATCGGACGAGAAGGCCTGGCTCTCAGTTGCCACTCTAATTCATCCCAAATGTGTTCTATCGGGTTGAAATCAGGACTCTGTGCAGGTCAGTCAAGTTCCTTCACCCCAAACTTGCTCATCCATGTCTTTATGGACCTTGCTTTGTGCACTGGTGTGCAGTCATGTTGGAATAGGAAGGGGCCATCCCCAAACTGTTCCCACAAAGTTGGGAGAATGAAATTGTCTAAAATCTCTTGATATGCTGACATCTTAAGAGTTCCCTTCACTGGAACTAAAGGGCCAAGCCACATGCAGAATGAGGAAAAAGGGGACTTTGCACAAAATGACCCTTGTAATTCTCGCTAATTAACCTCTTGGTGCCGGCCGCACGCCGAGCGGCCACACATTTGCGTGCAATTAAGAAAAACATATGTGCTGAGAGCTCGTGCCCTGCCCACTCCCAGCACACATGTCCGGTACTCACAGAAAGGTCCCGAACTCCTCTTTCGATCAGGACCTTTCCCGATCATGTGACTGCCATGACAGCGAATCACGGCGGTCACATGACCCTAAAACCCCGCCTCCCAGCTTCTGAAACCCTTAAAGAGTTGAGAAGCACCGGCACCAAGGGGTTAAGATCTATCAGGTCATATTGTTCATTCTTCTACTTTCACCAGATGCATTTGGTTGCATGGTTTAATCTTCACACACAGACGTGTGTGCCCAGAGGCATCCTGCTCTACACCTTTATGGCGATTCATATGGACTTGTTTTATTATATCACCAATCATAACTACTTACATTTTTTATGTATACTATTACCATACAAAAACAAGTAAACAAGTAAAATAGAGAGCACACAGAATGTAATCTGAATGCAATCTGTTTTCTTTATTTTATATTTTTATATTTTATAATTTCACATTGTTCAAATTGTAATCAAAACCATATTTGAAGCAACGTCCTCTATTCCCTTCTCTTCTCTTCTGTAATTTGACCTGTATGCCTTTTTCTGGAAACTCAGCTCATTGAGGACAGTTGGGTGTAAATCATTCTGGTTTGGAGGCAGTAAAATATTTCCTATCCAAATCAAAAGCTCAGAATCTCCCGTATGATTATCTATTTGAGGGGACCATATATGCCCAAATCCAGGGAACTGCTATGGGCAGCCTCATTTGTGAAGTTGTTTGAATACTTGGAAAAAAAAACAACATTTATACTACAGTCCTTTTCTCTGACCATATTAATGATATGAGTGATATGTCACTCTTCTATGAGTTTGTGAAATACCTGAAGAGTATTTTTTAAAGGCATAATTTTTAACCTGGAAATTTCCCCAACAACTTGAGACCATGTACATGGTTACCCCACTGTTGTACTTTACCAGGCGTTAGCCAGAACTATCTCATATCCTGAAAGAACCCCTAGAGCTGTGGTTAGGTCGTTATTTATACATAGCTTCAAGCAGGAATCTGAATGCATTAAACGGGCAGCAGTGCACAATATAAATATCAACAGAGCAGATGATACATTAGCACCTGACATTAAAAATGCACCATTATTGGTTCACAAATGTGGTTGGTCCCTACGTAATCTGTTAGTACAAGCAGACCCAAGAACCAAGTATTCAAAGACAGTGGTCAAAATTTCACATAAACAGGGCTATTATAGGTGCCATAACTGCAACATATGCAATTCATTACCATCTACAGCAGTGGTTCTCAACCTTTCTAATGCCGCGACCCCTTAATACAGTTCCTCATGTTGTGGTGACCCCCAACCATAAAATTATTTTTGTTGCTACTTCATAACTGTAATTTTGCAGTGGGAGGAGTAGTGCCACGTCACTGGTGTCAGTGGGAGGAATAGTGCCACGTCATTGGTGTCAGTGGGAGGAATAGTGCCATGTCATTGGTGTCAGTGGGAGGAATAGTGCCTCATCATTGGTGTCAGTGGGGAGGAATAGTGCCCCATCACTGATGTCAATGGGAGGAATAGTGCCCCATCATTGGTATCAGTGGTAGGAATAGTGCCCCATCATTGGTGTCAGTGGTAGGAATAGTGCCCCATCATTGGTGTCAGTGGTAGGAATAGTGCCCCATCATAGGTGTCAGTGGGGGGAATAGTGCCCCATCATTGGTGTCAGTGGGAGGAATAGTGCCCCATCATTGGTGTCAGTGGGAGGAATAGTGCCACGTCATTGGTGTCAGTGGGAGGAATAGTGTCCCGTCACTGATGTCAATGGGAGGAATAGTGCCCCATCATTGGTATCAGTGGTAGGCATAGTGCCCCATCATTGGTGCCAGTGGTAGGAATAGTGCCCCATCATTGGTGTCAGTGGTAGGAATAGTGCCCCATCATTGGTGTCAGTGGGGGGAGGAATAGTGCCCCATCATTGGTGTCAGTGGGGGGAGGAATAGTGCCCCATCGTTGGTGTCAGTGGGGGGAGGAATAGTGCCCCCATCGTTGGTGTCAGTGGGGGGAGGAATAGTGCCCCATCGTTGGTGTCAGTGGGAGGAATAGTGCCCCGTCATAGGTGTCAGTGGGGGGAATAGTGCCCCATCATTGGTGTCAGTGGGGGGAATAGTGCCCCATCATTGGTGTCAGTGGGGGGAATAGTGCCCCATCATTGGTGTCAGTGGGGGGAATAGTGCCCCATCATTGGTGTCAGTGGGGGGAATAGTGCCCCATCATTGGTGTCAGTGGGGGGAATAGTGCCCCATCATTGGTATCAGTGGTAGGAATAGTGCCCCCATCATTGGTGTCAGTGGTAGGAATAGTGCCCCATCATTGGTGCCAGTGGTAGGAATAGTGCCCCATCATAGGTGTCAGTGGGAGGAATAGTGCCCCATCATTGGTGTCAGTGGGAGGAATAGTGCCCCATCATTGGTGTCAGTGGGAGGAATAGTGCCCCATCATTGGTGTCAGTGGGAGGAATAGTGTCCCATCACTGGTGTCAGTGGGAGGAAAAGTGCCCCATCATTGGTGTCAGTGGAAGGAATAGTGCCCCATCACTGGTGTCAGTGGGAGGAATAGTGCCCCATCATTGGTGTCAGTGGGGGGAATAGTGCCCCATCATTGGTATCAGTGGGAGGAATAGTGCCCCCATCATTGGTGTCAGTGGGAGGAATAGTGCCCCATCGTTGGCATCAGGGGGAGGAATAGTGCCCCAACATTGGTGTCAGTGGGAGGAATAGTGCCCCATCGTTGGTGTCAGTGGGAGGAATAGTGCCCCATCGTTGGTGTCAGTGGGAGGAATAGTGCCCCATCGTTGGTGTCAGTGGGAGGAATAGTGCCCCATCGTTGGTGTCAGTGGGAGGAATAGTGCCCCATCGTTGGTATCAGTGGGAGGAATAGTGCCCCATCATTGGTGTCAGTGGGGGAGGAATAGTGCCCCATCATTGGTAATAGTGACACCAATGATTGGGCACTATTCCTCCCACTGACACCAATGATACTTACCTTGCTGACCCCTGCTCCAGCCTGGGCTCGCTCGCTCCCTCCCTCTCCCATGGTACAAACACTTACCGGTCAGATGGCTTCCTTCTCCGGCCGCTTTCCTCCTCTTCACTCGCTCGTGCTTCGCGGTGCCGCTCGGCTCCTCCTTTCCAAGCTCCACCTCCTCGCCGGTGATTGGCCGCCTGTGTGCCTCTCTTGAGCTACAGTTCCGGCGGCCAATCACCGACGAGGAAGGATTGATCCCGGGGGTGTGTCCAGATGACAGGAACGGCATGTCATCCCGCCCACACCTGCAGACGGATCAAGGAGCGGTGTCTCGGTTCCTAAGGCCATCGGAAATATGTGTTTTCCGATGGTCTTAGGCGACCCCTGGGAAAGTGTCGTTCGACCCCCAAAGGGGTCGTGACCCCCAGGTTGAGAACCGCTGATCTACAGGAATACATGAACTGCAATACCAACTCTTGCATCTATATCCTAAAATACCCAGGCTCACTAGTCTACGTGGGCAAAATAATAGGCCCTTTAAACAACGGTTTCAAAGACACAGAAATGACATAAGTAGAGCTCTGGCAAAGATGGCGAAAGGTGAATCTGTTGATCTGAGTAAACCTGTAGCAGTCCATTTACTTCATTGAGGCATCAGATGCACGATTTAAGGGGCACAGTCATTGTCAGTCAACCAGCAAGAGGAGGAGACCGAGATAGCCTCCTCCTCCACCGTGAAGCATATTGGAGACATACCCATGGTACAGTACAACTAGGAGGTATGAATACCAACTCATTATATCTTTGTTTTTTGGACAATAGATACATTTTGGTTATAATGGCAGATTTTGTTTATAGTTTCTATTTGTACATAAATCTTTTGGTTGTTCACTCTGCACCTTCTTTCTCCTCCAGAGAGCCTGTGAGCTACATTCCAAATGAATCCTGCCCCAACTCTCCAAGTTTATATATTGTGCCTCCACTTCCTCCCTCTTCTCCCTCTTCCTTTGCCCTTTTTCCTCCCTTCCCCCTCCCCCCTTCCTTTCTTTTTCCCTTTCATTTTTCCTTTTTCTCCCTTTTTTGCACTCTATATTTTTCATCTTTTTTTTTGTTTTTCTTTTTTCCCCTGTTCTTTTATTTCCTTTCATTTTATGTAGTTTTTCATTTCTTTTTATGCTTTTTTTTCTTTCTCGAGTTTCTCATCTCGTCCATTTTGCTTTTACTCCTAAACTGCAGCTGATTAGCATTTCTTTTCTTCTTAGATCCTTTTTTTATACCATTTTGTTTCCTTTTTTGTATTGCCATTTCCTTTTATTTTCCTTCTCTATAGCTGATTCATATTGGTTCCCCCTTTTTTTCTGTTGTCATTTTTTCCTAAGAAGCTCACTGGCCCCACATCACACACATCTTCAGCTCAGTCTGCCCTCTGGCCTATCTAGCACTGGCATCATGTGTTTCCATGACAATGGCAGCTGGCTTGCTTGCCAGTTTACAGGTCCCAGTGTGCACTTGAACAGCGGGATACACAATTGGAGGGGGATAATACATCTCCCCTGTCTCCTAGCAACATAGATACATTGCATACCAGGGACCAGTGTCCCTTTGTTTACATTCTGTGTCGTCAGTGTGCGCTCTCCCCCCAGCATACTTTGAGGAGTTTTATAGTCAATGTGCAACCATATTATGTACTCCCCCTGCAATACAAATTACACTTATTTGATTGCTGTTTATTCATTACACACAGGAAGGTGTTTGACTGTTATGTCATATGGTGGAAATGTGATGTTGTTATGATGTTAAGGGGTGGGGCTTGGCTCATTTTCTGCTCATTGATTGGTGGATGGTTCTTTAAATAGTTTCTTTGTTATAACACACCTTGTCACATGCCTGGTAAAAGGGTTGTTAGGCTCTGAAATGTTGCTCTTGCTGTAACAATGTGATCTCTAAATAAAGCTTTGGACCCACATTGAAGATCTATGGTGTGCTGGTGACATTCTTCTCTTCTGATTGTTCTCGGTTCCATCCGATGGTCGCTGCAGCACTTGCTTACATATATACAGCCATCTTTAACACTGGAACATATGAGCTGGACTGTGCATTTTAGCTCTGAATTTTCTTAAGGGAACAGCATATTGTAAAACTACAAGCATTATATCCATGTGCATGATTTAACATGCTCTGTTTCATGTGAGTGCATTTTTGGGTTTTAATAAAATTTTAATCTTTCAGTATGATACGTTGATGGACTTTTTACATTCTATATGAGCCTTGTTTGCTGGAGGATCCATCTTATTGAAGCAGAAGCAGCTGGTGAAACTGAAAATATCCTATAATGGTGGATTTGCCCCCAGGATGGGGAAGGCATGAAGTGACCCTCTGAGGGCTAACATAGAATCGTGGAGATGGATATCAAATGGTGCAGTGTTATTGGATACATATTCGTATGAGCAACACAATTTTGATTGGACTGTTTTTCATGATGCAGAGTTTATTTCATCATATTTTGGAGTTGAAGAGACATTTTTTGTATTGACTTTACATTCACGCAACAGAGGTTCTCCCCATCATTCACTATATTGTATGATTGATATATATATATATATATATATATATATATATATATATATGAAATTGTTTTGAAGTGTTGCTTGTTATCATGTGATAGGTTTATTTCATATTACACATAGGGCACTTTGCAGTTTTATGGTGTTCGTTTATGCATGATATACATATTTATGTATGTACTATATATCATATTTGCAACACACTTGGTTATTTGTTTATATACCAGTTATTAAGTTTTCAGCAGTATAGGTTGGATATAGTATTCTTGTGATTCACATTTTCATGGGAGGTTTCCACCACTATTTACATATGTTAGTTTTCTAAGGGGGTAGCTCTACACTTTTTGGTTATTAGCATCTATTATGGAGTCAATTATCTCAGAAATGAAAGACTTATGGAAATCCACAGAGACTCCTTGGGATCTAGGTTAGTACTATGAAACCAGTGATTACAATATTTACTGTTAATGACCAAAATGGAATATGTGTGAAATTTCATTTCTTGAAGAAATAAAATTTTAGTGTTAGATTTATGGAGATGATACAAATTTTGGTGCCATTTCTCTGGGATGTTCAGCCCTTTACAGTTTAAAGAAGATAAAGATATATAGCTGTAAGACATTTTAAAGATGGGTATGTAAAATAAACATTCAATTGAGGAGCTCCAGACCCAAGTCAGAGGAGAGATTCAAGATGAAAAAGGAAGAAAAAAGATAAGCAAAACCCAGAGTAAATTGGACTGATACAGGTCTTGGGAAATAAAGTGGACAGAATACAACAATGACTGGCAAAAAAAACTGTAAGAAAATGCTGCTTTTATAAAGAAAATATATAGTTAAAATATCACATAGGGTTTTTTCCTGGACTGTCATTGACATTGGGTGTCAGGTTGGTTAAGAGCTAGGTTTCAGAGGCCAGTCAGGTAGTGTAATGTTAGCTAGTTCCAGAGTTAGGTAAGTCCCGTAGATTTCTGAAAATAGCAGATTGTAGCCATCGTAGAAAACCTGAAGTTGAAAGGGGAAACCCCATTGATATTTGTTTTTGGACATTAGTACATTTGTGATCTGCCTAAGTGCCTTATGCATGACCAGAGTTTGGAGTAAGAGGTCAGGAAGTGGCATGACAGGGGTTTCTTTAAACAAGATCTTGTCCTGAGTTGTTGCTATCTGAAGAATCTCATCTTTGATCTTGTAAAAGTGGATTCTGCAAATTACATCCCAGGGAAAAGCAAGGTATGGATTTAAGAGTCTCAAAATTCTATAAGTGCAATCAATAACAATAAGGGATTCCTTGGGTTTTTTCAGTACTGGGTAAAAATGCTGTCCTTCTTGCCTCTCTGATGTCTGTTCTACCCATTGGTGCTGTCTGTTAGGTGATCTGATGCCCAGGAGCCCTGTAGGAGGTGAATTGTGGCCTGTGTGTGTGTGAGTTGTTGGCCAGAGGAGCCTATCATGCCATGTGTGTTAAGCCATGTGCTCCTTTAGCCGGATTAAAAAGTAGTGGGTATAGTGGGCATCTCTGTAGCATATCTTTATAAAGATATTTAGACACATAGCCCAGTGTAACAAGCTTGGCTGATGGGGAAGCATACATATTACATAAGAGTTTAACAAAGTGGCCTTGCAAGTCCATTTTATTTTTTAATGTTTTGAAATTAGGTACACAAAGTGAATAAACATTACAGCATTACAGAAATGGGAACAAAATACATTATTTACAGAAGCAGAACAGGATACTTGGGGTGACATAGAAAACTGTATACAGTTGTATGTCATGTATCCCAGAAGGCACCAAACACAATTGGATAAAGGCAGTGCGTAGTGGCATTTTGACATCATCACATTAAAAGTGTAGTGTGTAAGTGATCTATGGGAGTTATTATGGGAGTGAGAAAACAAAAGAGGATCCACTTTAAACATAGCGGTTGGTCCAGGTATTCAGTTATTTTGTTATTAGCAGTGCAAGGGAGGGTACGTGGGAAGGGTAAGGTAGTAGAAAGAAAGTGTAGGTGAGGGAAAGGAGGATGTGTGAGCAGGGTGCCCCAAGGAGGGGAACTGAGGATTTTAAGAAGCTCTGTCCTGAGTAGGTGATATGTTTGTAAGCCACATAATTGGGTATGAAAGAT